CGGATCACCCGTTCTATTCGTATCGAAGAAGGGGGGTACTTTGAGGATGTGCATTGATTATAGGGGCCTCAATGCCATCACGGTGAAAAACGCAGAGCCTCTACCTCGCATAGACGACCTATTGGATAGGGTGCAGGGATGCAAGTACTATACAAAGATAGACTTGAAATCCGGATATCACCAGATCGCAATAAGACCTGAGGACCAACACAAGACAGCTTTTCAGACTAGATATGGTCTGTATGAGTTTGTACTGATGCCTTTCGGTCTTTGTAATGCGCCGGGTACGTTCCAGCACGCTATGAATCGGATCTTCCATGACCATTTAGATAAGTTTGTCGTGGTCTATTTAGACGACATTCTGATCTTTAGTAAGTCTGCCGAGGAGCACGCACAGCATGTTGAGACAGTTCTCTCACTCCTGCGACAACACAAGTATAAGGTCAACTTAGAGAAGTGCGAGTTTGGCCGCACTAAGATACTATACTTGGGTCATGAAGTATCCGCGGAGGGGATTAGGCCGGAAGATGCGAAGGTGGCTAGTATTCGAGACTGGCCACGACCTCAGACAGTCACTGAGGTCAGATCATTCTTAGGAATGTGCGGCTACTATAGGAACTTCGCTAAGAACTATTTTACAGTCGCCCTCCTTTGACTGATCTAACTCGACTTGACACACCGTGGGACTGGAGTGATGAGTGGGAGGGTGCTTTCAAGAGATTGAAGCATGCACTCATGAATCATGAAGTTCTTATGGTTCCCGATCCGCAGAAGCCATTCATAGTGACCACTGACGCAAGCCAATACGGCATTSGCGCAGTGCTGGCTCARCAGGATGGGAAAAAGTTGAGACCGATTGAGTACATGAGTAAGAAAATGCCTTYGAAGAAGCTGGCTAAGTCCACCTACRAAARGGAAYKCTATGCTCTCTACAAGGCACTTGTCCATTGGGGACACTTCCTTTTGGGAAGGTTCTTCTATCTGAGGACTGATCATCAGACCCTCAAATGGATCAAGACTCAACCGGCTCTTTCTGATGCACTCAAG